CAGTCGTTCCTGTCTCCCAGATTTATTGAGAAATTACTTGGTAACGGAAGGTCAGCGAGGTCGATGGTCACCTTCAGTCTCGTTTAGTTTTGTTTGCTGCTGCTGCCGCGGTGGTGTTGTTCACGCTCACACATATTCGCTCATTTCCATTCTTTCATTATCACTTTTTACCACACCCATACAGTGCCAAATGTAGGTGGCTTTCTCTCTCTCTCTCTCTCGTGTGTGTGTGTGTGTGTGTGTGTAATTGTTTGTTCATGTGTGGTCATACATGGGCATGCATGCCTGCACACGTGATGCTCCACACACACACACACACACCCACCCACACATACAGTATATGCATATTTTATGCAATACAGTCACAGTGCGCTTGTCGCTTTTGCTACACGCACACGTGATATTAATTTATTTGCATTCTTTTCATGTCGACCTTATTTCGCGGGTTGGCTGTTCCCACTGAAATCATTTTATTTTTTTAATGGTAAGGCCATTAACCTTTAATTAGAATTTACCGAAATCGTTCCTCTTTATCGTGCATTTTCCATTACACAGAAACAATAAATAAAACCGCCCCAGTTCCGAGTGTATGTGTGTCCGCGCTTATCCCTAGTTCAACTGTTTACATGTTATTCATCCGTCAGGCGGAGTGAATGTAATCTGAATGAAATGGGTAAATGAATAAACAGACATTGTTTACACACACACACACGCACCGACATTTTATATATATATATATATATATATATATATATTTATATTGGTACTGCGTCCCCGTCACACTATCGCCGCCACAGCTTCCCTCCACCACCCGTCACACAGCCCGCCACGTTACCCGTCATGGTGTTCAACACAAAAAACACTGCGTTACGTCCGCTCTCACGTCACAACACAAAACTTCCATGTTTGGGTGGTTGCAGGGAGGCTGGTTGTGTGGCGTTAGGGGGATGGTGAGGGAAGGTGAGAGGGAGTAGAGGGTGAGGGAAGGCGAGAATGAGAAGGCGAGGGAGTGAGTTAAGAGGGGGGTAGAGAGTGAGGGTGGGAGGGATGGTAGATATTACGGAGTAATTCCCTTGTCCAGCCTCTCCCTTCTCCTCCTCCTCACCCTCCCTTCCCCCTCTCCCTTCTCCTCCTCTCCCTTCTCCTCCTACCCCGTCTCCTCTTCTTCTTCCTCCTTCCATTTCTCGTACCTTTCCACTTCCTCCCTTCTCCATATACCAACACCACCTCCATCCTCAATCCCTTCCCCTCCCCACCCACTCATCTTACCACCTACCCACTTCTTCCACATCCCCTTCTCCCCACGCCCAGTCATCACCTCCCTCCCCCCATTCCTCCCCGGCCATCTCCTACCCGTCCCTCCTCTCCTTCTTCCATTCCTGCTCTGCTTCTTCCTCCCCTCCCCTTCCCTCCCCTCTCCAGGGTTTAGCGCGGGCAGGGTCGCCATCAAACATGAATGGTGTATTAGACAAGTCACTTAGCCGCGATCAAATATTCAGGCCATCTACCAGAGCAGCTCCCACTTCCCCACCTGTGGATCTTGCTCTTCCCCGCGCTTCCCCAAACTTTCCCCACATACTACCACCCCCCTCACCCTCCGACTCCTTGCGAAATTTTTGTTATCCTGTTCTCAAAGTATTCTCCGAAGTCCCCATCCCTCATCCCCACCCCTTCACGGCCCGTCACTATTCCCCAAACTTTCCCATCCACCCCCATCCATCCCCAAAAATTTCCCCTTCCCCCCCATTCTAAACTTCTCCATCACCCTAACCCTCCCCCAAACTTTCCCTATAGGTCGTTTCCTAAACTTCACCTGCCCTCCCCAATACCTTACCCTAGTTTCCCTATTCAAAACATACACAAACCCCAGAAATTCCCCCGGCTTTACCCCTAAAATTCCCCCGCCATCCCCTACCTTTCCCAAGCACTTTTCCCCGCTCCTTCCCAGACTTTCTCCTCACAGTGCTCGATGCTGCCTGACTCTCACTCACTCTCCCTCCCTCTCTGATCTTCCTTGCTCCTTCCTGACAATCCCTGACGTCTCCGCCACACTCCCTAATCTTTCCTGGCACTTTGAAGCTACCCTTGGCACTCCCTGACTCTTCCTGACGCTCTTGAGAATCTCACTAACGCTTCCTGATATTTCTAAGACTCACTAACGCTTTCCAATTCGCCATGAATCTCCCTGACACTCTCCAACTCTCCCTGACACTCCCGACTCTCCTTAACATTCTCCCCGACTCTCCCTGACACTCCCAGACTCTTCCTAACAGACTCACCGACTCTTCCTAACACACTCCCCGACTCTCCCTGATGCTCCCCGACACCCCCTCATACTTCTCTACTCTCCCTGACTCCCACACTAACCCTGACCTACCATAACACCCGCCGACTATCCTCGATGCGTCCTTGACCCTAAACTCTCCCCTCCCTCACCCGCCTACACGCCCCTCCTCTCTTGACTGCTCTTCTCTCTCTCTCTCTCTCTCTCTCTCTCTCTCTCTCTCTCTCTCTCTCTCTCCCTCCACCCCTACCCCTCTCCTTCCTCTCCCCTCCTCCCCTACCTCCTCCCCTACCTCCCCTCTCCCCTACCCCTCTCCTTCCTCTCCCCTCTTCCCCTACCCCTCTCCTTCCTCTCCCCTCTTCCCCCTCCCCTCTCCTTCCTCCCTCCTCCCCTACCTCTCTCCTTCCTCTTCCCTCCTCCCCTACCTCTTCCTTCCCTCTTCCTCCTCCCCTACCTCTTTCCTTCCTCTTCCCTCCTCCCCTACTCCTTCTCCTCTCCCCTCCTCCCCTACCTCTCTCCTTCTCTCCCCTCTCCCCTACCTCTTTCCTTCCTCCCCTACCTCTCTCCTTCCTCTCCCTCCTTACCCCTCTTCCTCTTCCCCTCCCCCCCTCTTTCCTCTTCCCCCCTCCTCTCCTCCTCCCTTCCTCCTCCCCTCCTCCCCACTCTCCCCTCCTCCCCTACCTCTCTCCTTCCTCTTCCCTCCTCCCCTACCTCTTTCCTTCCTCTCCCCTCCTCCCCTCCTCCTTCCTCCCCTCCCCTACCTCTCTCCCCTCCTCCTTCCCTCCTCTCCCTCCTCCCCCCCTCTTTCCTTCCCCTCTCCCCTCCTTCCCCCTACCTCTCTCCCTTCCTCTCCCTCCTCCCCTACCTCTCTCCTTCCTCTTCCCTCCTCCCCTACCTCTTTCCTTCCTCTTCCCTCCTCCCCTACCTCTTTCCTTCCTCTTCCCTCCTCCCCTACCTCTCTCCTTCCTCCTTCCTCCTCTCTACCCCTCCTTCCTCTCCCCTCCTCCCCTACCTCTCCCCTCCTCCCCTACCTCTCTCCCCTTCCCCCTCCTCCCCCCTCCTCCTCCCACCTCCCCCTACCTCTCCTTCCTCTTCCTCCTCCCCTACCTTCCCTTCCTCTCCCCTCCTCCCCTACCTCTCCTTCCTCCCCCTCCTCCCCTCCTCCCCTACCTCTCTCCTTCCTCTTCCCCTCCTCCCCCCTACCTCTTTCCTTCCTCTTCCCTCCTCCCCTACCTCCTCCCTTCCTCTCCCCTCTCTCCCCTCTCTCCTTCCTCTCCCTCCTCTCCTACCTCTTTCCTTCCTCTCCCTCCTCCCCCTTTCTCCTTCTCTTCCTCCTCCCTACCTCTCCTTCCTCTCCATCCTCCCCTACCTCTTTCCTTCCTCTTCCCTCCTCCCCTACCTCTCTCTTCCTCTCCCCTCCTCTCCCACCCCTCTCCTCCCTCTCCTCCTCCCCTACCTCTGTCCTTCCTCTCCTCCTGTCCTTCCCTCCTCCCCCTCCTCCCCCTCCTCTGTCCTTCCTCTCCCCTCCTCTCCTACCTCTCTCCTTCCTCTCCTCCTCCCCTCCTCTCCCTCCTCCCCCTACCTCTCTCCTTCCTCTCCCTCCTCCCCCTACCTCTCCTTCCTCTCCCCTCCCTACCTCTGTCCTTCCTCCTCCCCTCCTCTCCCTACCTCTCTCCTTCCTCTTCCTCCTCCTCTACCTCTCTTCTTCCTCTTCCCTCCTCCCCTACCTCTCTCCTTCCTCTCCCCTACCTCTCTCCTTCCTCTCCCCTACCTCTCTCCTCCTCCCCTACTTCTCTTCTACCCCTCTCCTCCTCTCCTCTTCCCATTTCCTCTCCCTTCTTCCTCTCATAACTCTTTTCTTTCTTATCTTAACATATTCATTCACTGGTACGTTATTCTCTTATTCTCCTTTATTTTCCATCAACAACCACAACTTTAAAACAACAAAACTATAAAACAAAAACAACAACTACAAAACAACAATTAAAACAAAATAAAAACAACTATAAAGCAATAAAAACAACAGCAACAACAACTATATAACAAACACAACAACTACAAAACAACAACTTAAAACAACAACTAAAAACAACAAAAACATCCTCAACAAAAACTACAAAACAATAACAAAGGCAACAATGAAAGTACCATCAGCTGGATATAAGTAACGTCATCACCACTACCACCACCACAATACTGTCACTATCATCACCATCACTAAACACAACCCCATTACGACCACTACCACTCATCACCACTGTCACTACCATCACCACACCACCACCAGCCTGACCTCCGCCTTCACCACCATCACCACCATCACCACTACGCCTCCTTCCTCTCTGTAAACATCGTGCATTCTTCATTCGTATCCAGTAGAAAAACTATACTTTCTCTTGATTCTCTTCCTACCCTATTTACTGTTTTTCTCTTATTTCCCACCTTTATCCTCTACAGGGACTCTCTATCTAGTGAGTTAGTGTGTTGTTATCACCGCCGACCTCTGCTCCATCATAACACCAGGTCTTTAAATTTCTGCTTTAACTTTCCTGGCCTCCACCTGTTCCCCTCGCTCTCTCTCCCCCTTACCTGGACGCTTCCCTCTTTCCCTCACGTACCTGCTGCCTCGCGCCCTCCCTCCCCTCACCCCTCTCCCCCCGGCGCCCTCCCTCCCTCACCTTGACGTGCTCCAGCAGCAGCAGCGTCGGGTGGGCCTCGGAAGGGGCGCCTCCCTCAGTCCGGGGAAGTGCGCTACGCTGAGAAGGTGTGCAGGTAGGAGTGGGAGAGAAAGGCCAAAGGGCAGAGTGGGAGGCCGCCAGCACCGTCCGCATAACAAGATGGCAGCAGCAGCAGGTTTGTCTCGCCACCCGCTCCTCCTGCTGCAGCGCCACCGTCGTCCACTCCAGTGATCCTTCTTATTGAACTGTCGAAACCCAGGCGAGTAGACAGTAGTGTTATTGTTGGGATAATTCACACAGCCACGCCACCACCGACGGAAGTAGCAACGGGAGGTATTTGTGCGAAAGTAACAAAGCCATAAATCTCTAGTTACGCGTGGCACGGCGCCAGTTGTGATGCAATTAGAATAATATGATAAATAACACGGAATCCAGTAGCGAACGCAAATTATTATTCATGAAGGCAATCAAGTGCAGTTGCTCCCGCAAAGAACAAAGTGCATAACGTTGAAGTCCCGTCCTTCCGCCATTTTGAAAATCTGCACCTCGGAGCTGGCCAACCAGAGCAGCTGACCGAGTGAGCGAGAAGAGAGTCGCAGGCCGGGAGAGTGGAAGCTGGGAGAGTGGCGGCGGGAGAGGTGAGGTGGTAGTGGCAGTGTGGGAGAGAGCGATAAGGGGCTGCAGGCAGTACGGTGGCCACTTGAACAAGAGCACCTAGACCCAAGGTGAGTCACTGACACAAATAAAGAGGTAGGGGGTGGTGGTGGCAGCCTCGACCCCCACACCACCACCACACCATGCACTAACGCCTCCTTCCAAAACAACCACACAACTTTAATTCTCCTTGCGGTGATTTGGCTGTGTGGCGTAATGCTGGAGACTGGGTGAGGGTGACACACACACACACACGCACGCACGCACTCACGCACGCACACACACACACACACACACAAGTGCACACATCACCTCCACCAGCAAGACTTACACTCACAGGTCACACACGCCTTTGCTGTAACCGGGCCATAAAATCAGTATCGAGTGGCCACCGGAATACTAAACGTGTGTTGTGTATTGTGTGGAATTGTGTTGGAAAGAAGACGAAAGACTACTTAATACAAACGAAATTGACAAATTATATAAGCGATAACAAACATACATAGTGACTATGGTAAAATACAACTGTATGGTTATATTATTTGTGAAGTTTTGCATATAGTGACTTTCTGAGAACAATAGTGGTAGATGGGAACACTAAGGGACACGTGAGCCACCATAACACAACATACCGCTGATAAACAGTGTTGTATCGGCTTGTGTGCTTCAACAATACACTTGGCTAAGACACGTCGTCGATCTAACGCCTCGTATGTTCCCAGTTTCTACTTCTTTATCCAGTAAAGTGTTTCGGGTCATCTGGGATATCGGTGTCGTAAGAACATTTATCATGCAAGGTGGAACGGCCAATCTCTCAATTAAAAGCTAGTCTCAGGACGCAGCCAAAGACGCCTTGGAGAGAAAAGTTGTAACACCTCGGCACCTTGTTTATGGTTTACTAGAAGTTGTTAGTGGTTTATTTACGAATGAAGTGAGTCTTGTAGCCACGATCACAATGCTTTTACGATACGGAACACTGACTGTCCTGAACACTTGTGGATTCTCGTGTGTGTGTGTGTGCGCGCCTGGTGAATCCACAACACAATGACCACGATTTTGAGGTAACAGCACGTTGCTATTCATATGAACTATACCTCCTCTCCTCTAAAACATCTCTGTTCCACACATCCTTAGAGATCAGGTGTGGATTGAGAATTAATATACATCCGTGATATAATTAAATGTTTTGGTACTCGTGCGCTGTGGAGGTTTGATCAGCATCAAGAAGGTCACATAGTTGTATTGACATTAAACCCGCTGTGTGCGAGTCAGAGTGAATAAGTGACATTGTTTACACATTAGTTGTATAATTGAGGATTCTGGCATGGTGATTGGTGAGATGCTGTGGGATGAGATGGAGGAGAGGAGGTGTTTCCCACAGGTTGATTTGTCGAAACTGTTTTGTGGTGAGAGGAAGGGAGGGGAGATTTACCTGTTGATTGGTCAGATCTTGTTGTGATGTGAATGAGTGTGATTGGTTGATTTTTTTTAGGGGGGGGGACTGGTCGAATATTTATTATGGTACGAGATTCTTATATTTTGATTTGGGTGAATGTTTGTTGTGAATGGATGGCTCTCTGGCCTTTGATTGGCCAGTAATTTTAAGAGCGGGATTAGCGTACTGTGATAGATTAAGTGCACGGTCATTATTATTATTAGTAGTAGTAGTAGTACTTGTAGTAATGACTGTAGCTCATTAATTGGTCAACTATTAATCCTATTACGAGTTGATTAGTCAAGTCGAATAAATGTCTGTATGATTGGAAGGTATATTACATCTTTTGTTAAGTAATGACACGATGAGGAGGAGGAGTTGCAGTTGTAGTTCCAGTACTTTTGTTAAGTGAACTACAAAACAAAGTAAAATAAACATCTTTTTTTCAACGCCATGAACTAAAAGACATGAATGCAATGTTTTTTTTTTATTGGTTGAGTTAATAAACATTTTTCTGCGTTGGTATACACTAATCTGTGTTTATTGTTGGTGTTGATATTAGTTATTGATACCTGTTCTGCATTACTTGTGATTGGGTGAATGTTTGTGGTGTTAAGGGATTTCTGTATTGCGATTGGTTGAATGTCACCTAGCAGCAAAGCAGATACCTAATGTAAATCGAAATTTGCGAATTCGTATTCAGGGACAAGTTGTTGGAGCTTCCAACAACTTGATGACATAAACCACTGACTCTTCAGGCTTCTACGCCCTTGACTCTTCAGGCTTCTACGCCCTTAACTCATGAGACATAAAGGCAAGCATGAACTTAGCATGCTTCCCTGTTGGGCGCTGTAAACGCTTCTGCGCTTCACCTTACACAAGGATGTAGGGGGTGCCCCCCCCCAAAAAAAAATGGTTGAATGTTTGTGTTGAGAAATTATTGTATTGTGATTGGTCGAATGTTTGTTGTGATGAAAGATTATTGTATTGTGATTGGTTGAATGTTTGTTGTGATGAGAGATTCTTTTATTGTGATTGGTCGAATGTTTGTTGTGATGAAAGATTATTGTATTGTGATTGGTTGAATGTTGTGATGAGATTCCTTTATTTTGATTGGTTGAATTGTATGCGAGATTCTTGAATTGTGATTGGTTGAAAGTTGTGATGATTCCTTTATTGTGATTGGTTGAATTTTGTGATGAGAGATTCCTTTATTATGATTGGTTGAATGTTGTGATGAGAGATTCTTGTATTGTGAGTTGGATAAGTTTAGGTTTAGGAGGGAGATAGGAAGGAACTGGTTCACAAATAGGGTGGTGGACGAGTGGAACAAGCTTAGCAACCTTGTAGTAAGTGCTGGAACGATGGAAAGTTTTAAAAGGAGGCTAGATAGATTCATGGATGATATACAGTAGAGTGGTAGTAACTCTCGACAGGAGCTGCCATGCACAGACCAACCGGCCTATTGCAGACTCCTTATTTTCTTATGTTCTTATAAATGTTTATTGTGATTATTCGTACAGTGTTGCTATACAGATCATTATGTAGATATTTGACAATATTCTCTCTCTCTCTCTCTCTCTCTCTCTCTCTCTCTCTCTCTCTCTCTCTCTCTCTCTCTCTCTCTCTTCTTTATCATGTGAGACAGATCATTACAGTTTAATGCCAAGTGACTAGTTAAATTGTTTACCACGTCGTTATTGAGAAATGCCTGGTAATGAACAGGTGTTTGGAAGTGACGAGTAATGGGTTAAACTGCTTGTTTGGTGTGATTACTGATGGATTAAACTGCTCGTTAGTCGTTAGTACTGTGGTTAGTTAAACTGGTTGTTAGGAATATGATCGTTGCTAAAACTGATGGTTGGGTGTGATGGAGACAGGTGCCACAAGATGAATCTGAGGGTGAGGAGAGCATGTGTGTGGCACGCTAAAGAGGCACTCTCCAAAGAGACCTGACTTACGCACACGGTTTACAGGTGCACCAGCTGAAGAGCGCACACACACACACACACACACACACACACACATATATACTCACACACACACACACTCACATGCTGATTCACTTATATGCAATCAGTTCCACATACACTTGAAAGAAAATCAAACACAAAGAAACATACAAAAACACACAACGACAAACATAGGAGCAAGTACAGCCACCAGTGAGGTGGGGTTCTGCAACAGGTGCGGTACGACGTTGACTCCAGGGAGCCGGCGGCACCCCCTTGCTGCCGACATGATAACTCAGTCTTTTCCCGGTGACCATTATTCAACCTATTATGCACCCCCTTAACACACATTTATCCGTGTTTTCATACCTGTCTCTGATTCACATTAGTGGTTTTATAATCATCCTTGTCAGTTCCATAAAGGTTTCATCGATCGCTTTGAAACAACGTCAAGACCTTCAACTGCTCTTACGTCTGGAAGTTTAAGGGAGACGAACAGACAGATGAATCGCCCTACTTTGATTTCGGATTTAACTGAGTAAATACGACTAGATGCATTTACCAGTAGCTATACACGTATTGAAAAATGAAATAATCTACCACTAACTCAGCCATGCATTATCTAAGCTTAGGTAAAGGGATTTTGCTTTATATTTACGAAAATCAATAGCCACATTTTTGTTTTTATACATTGCGCGAACTTTTCATACTTCCATAGATGAAAGTTCTTCCTTATATTTCGTCCCTGTAAGCAAAGTACACCCCTGGCAGGAAGGTGTAGAGAGGTGTGGTTGAGGACGGAGGGCGGATGCTATCGTTAATTGAGGGGTGTTGGGTGTTGGGAGGTAGTGTGGGCGTGTGGGTGTGGGAGGTCTAGTTGTTAGGGAGAGAGAGAGAGAGAGAGAGCGCTGCCTGGATGGGGGGGGAGGGGGGGATGCTGCTGCCGGTGGACATGTATCTGATATTGATTTATTGGTTGGCTGTGTGTACGTGTCCTTTCTCCCTCCACTCATACACACACACACACACACACACACACTCACACTCTCTCTCTCTCTCTCTCTCTCTCTCTCTCTCTCTCTCTCTCTCTCTCATTACCTCTACCTTTTCTCCTCTTCATTTTTTCTGTTCCTCTTCTCTTCTTTCTCAATTTCTTTTCCCTCCACATTCTCTTCTTCTCCCTTTTCTGTCCTCCTTTATCTCCTCCTCCCTTCCTGGCACTTTTCCCCTCCGCCATCTCCTGTTTCTTTAAATTCTCCTTCTCCCATTCCACAACCACCTCATCTCTCCTTTTCCTCTTTTATTCTATTTCTTATTCTCCCCTTCCTCCTGTTTCTCTTCTCCTTCTCCCTCCACCCCTATCCTCTCTCTTCTCCACGCTCTCCACCTCCTCTTTCATCCATTTCTCCTTCTCCTTCATCTCTCTCTCTTCCCCCATTTCTCTTTCCCCTCTTTCTCCTCACTTTTCTTACCGATCTTCCTCCTCCCCTTTTCCTTTTTTTTCTCTTCGCACCATCTTCACTCCCTCTCCCAGTTTACCTCCACCATCTTTATCTACTTCAATTTCACTTGTATCTCTCTCTCTCTCTCTCTCTCTCTCTCTCTCTCTCTCCCTCTCCTCTCTCTCTCTCTCTCTCTCTCTCTCTCTCTCTCTCTCTCCCATTTCCTCTCTTTCTACTTCATC